GGGTGACCTCTAATAGGTCTGATCTTACTTGTGATCAATCTTATTTCTTTATATTTTTCTGTTCTACAACAGAAAATTAGAATATATGAAATGGTATGGTCGATGAAATGAATAGTTAGAACCATCAAAAAGCGTAGTCCTACCAACATTTTGCGTACAAATTGCTGTGACATACGATATCTACAAGTACAATTGCAGACAAATATGCTAATTGTTTCAAATGTTTCTTGTAATTATCTTTATTATATAGGCCTAGGCCTACTGAAGAAGAGGCAGGGAGAGAGGCCCGGGCCTACTAGAAAAGAGGCAGGAAGAGTTCTAAAAGCTAATCTTACCTGTTCACGTTAACTTCCAAAGATTCGTTGTATTGACTGTTCAGCCAGTGCCGCCAGTGTTTTTCACACTGTGCATTGGTGTAGACTCGCTTGTCTTCCGGGTTGGTTTACAGCAGGGAACAGTGACCAAATAAAGGACAACATGACAATCTAAAGGAACTAAAGAAAGTTGATTGTTCACGCCACGCCATCGTAATCGTCGTACTCCATGGCCAGGAAGACTGATTTAATTAATTGTATTAATATTGCAATAAAAATAATATCAATCATCATTACTAACTGTATTATTGTTAAATAGAATACACTGTTGATTTATAACCTAGTCTACAAGTGAACATAATATGTTCACTTATATATTATATAATTATTATATTCATTATCGTTATCATTACTTTTGTTATAGGCCTATATATTATTATTTTTCATCATCATCATCATCATCATCATTTTTATAATTATCCTCATTAATACTTTTATAATTGTGGTTTTCTTATAGTATTTAAATATTGTAAGGCTACAATCTACATAATAGGCCATGCCTCGTCTATGTAAACACCAATGAAAGACACCGACAATCTTCGGATAAAGGAATACAAGAGACCGATGGTGGAATCAGACCATAAATCGGATAATGTCTTACAGTTACACCATGTGACGTCGAAATAGTAACGCGCGCATCAGTGATGATACGCCTTGAATGTGTTTTTTAAACGAATCATTCACGCGAAACGACCTTGTTAACACCATATGAATGTTTCCTGCAGTTGAGTAGTCACTTCCTTTTCAACCTCGGCATACGAACATATTTTAAGATACCCACTACCACCACCACCATGATTTCAAGCGTAGACAAAGCTGTGAGCTATTAATACAAAGCCTAACTGTGATTTTAGCAACCCTTTCAGATTTTACCGCAAACGATTAATTTTATTTATACGTATGCCGTTTTAAACGGATGGGGATGCTAATAGACTTTTGCCAAATGTCAATCAAATTTTACAATTGACAAAATTAATCATAACCGAAAGGTCCCACTGATTAATCTCAGATAAGAAAATACAATACATACTTTAACTCCAAGTATTGAAATGCATGCCATATCGTGTTGGGAATCAATAATTTGAAATTATGTCATCATCATAAATACTTGGAGTACAGGAAATGCGCTTATTAAAACATACGCGAACACGTGCGTGTGTGAGACAACCTTGTTGGACACGCCCGAATTCCTGGCACTGTTCTGATTGGTCAGTTGTTAAGTTTGACCGACACTACTCCGGAAAGGTCAATTACACACGATTCAGTGGCAGATCCAGGAATTCGAAATAGAGGAGGCAATGAAGGGACTTCCACAAATAGAGGGTCAAGAAGAAAATTTATGATTTTGGCACCTCTAGGTTACCGGAAAGACAAGTCAGTGGTGGCGCCAGAGGGGGAGCTGGGGGGGGGGCGCTATAGCCCCCCCGTCGGGGAAGCATAGCCCCCTCCCCCATCGGGGAAGACGATAAATTTTGTCGGGGAACAAACAAATAAAAAAAAATATTTATTCGTTTAGCCACCATATCGTTTGTGTTAACTTTTCATCACAACAACAACCACAATAACAACAATAATAATAATTCAATGAGACTAATTAAAAATAATTTGCATTCTGTTATGACAAATGCTCATTTAGATAACCTCATGATGGTTGGAATACATCGTGACAGGTGAAGCAACCTCGACCATGACAACGTAGTTGACAGATTTCATGCAAATTTTCCAAAATATAGAATTTCACTTTCAAGAATGAGGATTTGAAAATAAATTAGATGGTTACATTGCATACTCTTTGTTTCTTGCTTTATTCAAAATGTTTTGGTTTTGGAAGCTGATGTCAACATTAGAAAACATAGCCTACATGAAGTCATATTATAGTAACTCGATGCCTATCAAATAAGTAATAAAAATTCGCCATAATTCATCAAATATCCGTGGCTGGACCCCCCACCGGGGGCCCTAGGCGGCCCTCTGGCCCCCAGCCAAGTGAGACTCGATTCGCTCCACTAGCCCCCCCCCCCCCCCCCCGTCGGGGCCTTTAGCCCCTCCGTCGGGCAGGTCCTGACGCCACCACTGAATACAGTACCTAAATTTAATTATAATTTTCCTTTTTTCTCAATTATTTTTATAATTTTGAACAATTTAGGGGGGAGGGGGAAAAGCCGGCTCCCCAACCCCTGAATCTGCCACTGCGAGTTTACGTACGTATACACCGCCATTTTGGTGGGCTTTTAGCAAAAGTTCCAAAAGACAGGGCTTGGCGATGAGTTCACACAAAATAATCTTCACATCATAACGTTGATAAACCAGTATTCATCCTTCTACGTACTGATATAAATATCCTGAATTCCTTCTTCACCAATGCTTCACATGGCCGGCGGTAGCACGACGCCAATGTGTGTCTACTAATGGGTTTAAAGTCGGTTTTTTCACAAGGCGAATTATTTGCGCGAATCGGAAGCGTCGTTCATATGGCTTTCACATTTCTATCGGAGTTTTCGCTTTAGCGAAATCGGTTGTTCGAACTGTTTCTACTTTTTGCGAGGCGGAATAAATGTGCAGCCAATCAGAGTTCCAGGAAGCGAACCGACGCTTTCGATTCGCACGAATAAATTTGCCAAGTGGAAAACAGGCATAAGACTGACATATGACGCGTTTTTATAATTTTTGTTGATCTTTGAATTTAATCATTTCAATGAACAAAAGAAAAACAATAAAATACTGAGCCATTGAGTAGATTACTTTATTTCCTTTCTTTGAGAACCAAACAAAAACAAGTAGCGTTAACGGGTACAATAATCAAGACAATTAGCAGTAACACAATAGGCTAAAAAAATACACGATCTCTTAAAATGTATTATCGTTTTTATTAATATGAGGACAATATGAGGATTACAATATTAGCGCACACTGTTACAGATTTCTTACACTCGGTAGAAAAATACTTATCTATGTACTGTAAAACACGTCACAGAAATTTATATAACGGTAAATACTACACACAGAAAACAGGTAGTCAGATATTTATTCAGTGTATTAAATGATAAACAAATTACGTTTTTAAGGCTAAAAAACTATATATATATATATATTAGACTGAAACGACTGTAAATACTAACGATCTGTGAAATGGCTTACGGGTAGTGCATAGGGAAACATGGAATATTGATTAGCCGATGAAAGGCTACATTGAAAACAATCGCACTCGGGTACATCCACGCGCACGTCCCACTAATACGAATCGCGCACATTTTACAGGAATACACACACTATACTGACACCCACATCGACAATCTATTCAGGGCCCACCATGAAGGCTCTCTTTCCTCTCCATACTGGAATAACACATCACACGACGCATCATACAACACTAAAGGCCCAATCAAAATAACACCACACACACACATGCACGCAATACGCAATTTGTAAGACATCACGCACACAGTACAAAGCATACACGTATTATACAACACAGAAACGTCATCTCAAAATCAAACACTGAAGCCAGATTTCCCTCATCATCAAGCATAGGTACCTTCACACGGCATAGGCCTACATACCTATGGCCTACACATGGGCACACACTCAAAAAATACCACACACGTGCACTCACTCAACCACACACAAAACGTTGACAATACACTCGTATCACATATTCACGACACTAACCCCAGCCATACAGTGAGCTCGACATCATACAAGCTAATTAGATCAAAGGCATCTCAAAGGCATCTCACACACCATAATACAAATTCCATGCACATTTCACAATAAGCGCACATGAAAAGCATGCACATGTTAACACCACGTAACACACTTTTATTCTGAACTATTCCTACACAAATTGGGAGTCAGACATCATTAGGGTCTAAAAAATAAGGGTTCATACATCAAATACAGGTGCTGCGTAATAGTACTGGGAAGATACAAGTTTGTAAATTAAACTTAACCATACAGATATTCTTACACTACATGTTGAATTGTTACATTGTTAAAATTACATTTAGTTAAATAATTGCACGTATAAAGTACATTACATTTAATATCATTTCATACAGTTTTTCTTCAATCTGTACTAAAAGAATCTTAGAAACAATTGAAATCAATTTCAAAATCACATGATGAACATTTACATAAAATATTTCAATTATCAGAAACATAGTTAAACATTTTAAGAGAAAGGGCACACAATTACTATGTACTGTACTATCAGCAGGTCACATGATTTGTAACTGGAAATCGGTGCGCAGTATAGTTTTCTTTTATCTTAGCTCATATGTCCCATAAGACTAATAAACCAGCAAATGGCATGCCGATTGAAACATATGTAAACTATTACTGCATTATGCAAAATAGGTTCTCACAAATTAACGTCACAGTAAATCCCAGATCAAAATTCATTTTGAGTATGTTGAAATAAAACATCCAAAACTGTTCATCCTATGATTCGTGCAAATATGAACAATGACAGTATATGCATTTTATGCACATGAATGTACATAATAAAAACAAATAAAAAATTGTATCATACTGGATTGCACACATATTTTTGTTAGTATGAAATACTCAACAAAACACCACAACACTAAAAAATGGTTTCATTGAAAATTGCTACACATGATCGCCGATTCCCTTGGCGATGCTGATTGGGAGCGTTCCCAATGAACCTTTCCACTAAGCTCTGCTCCTTGGATATTGTTGCTAAGGTCCCACTAGACGACAGTGTTAAAACAAGGCAATTGCCTTGGTTACAACCATAGCCTTGTTTACACGGTAGGAAAACATACGCGAACACGCGTGTTTGTGGGACAACACGTGTGTGAAACGCGCACGTATTCCTAGCGCTGTTCTGATTGGTCAGTTGTTAAGTTTGATTGACACTCTGAAAAGGTCAATTTTGTTGGGGTCAGGTCGGGGACAGCAACGCAGTGCAATTATTGCATTGAAAACCCTGTGACTGTGTAGCGATTTTATGAAAACCAGGCTTAACAGATCAACACCAGTAACTCCGAAAGACCGTTTATATTGCATACCTATCAAAACTAAATGGACAAAATCAAACGTACAGTTTACCAAGCATAGTAGAATACATCGATTTCATTATACAGTCATAAAAGAACATACATAAATTTAAACGATTTTGATATATTTATACCCAAATACCTTTGGGTGTGATTAATGAAAGTATGCCTATGCGTAATTATGAATGACGTCATGTATATCGATTTATTTAATGTAAATAGATAGTCATACATTTTTGGAAAATTCTTAATTCAAAAATCTGTTATGGACGAATACTAATGACATCGGCAAATACATCCACAATAGTATGTAAAATACCGAAAAAATATATAAATATTGAAATATGAGTTTGTGGGGATAAGCAACGATGTAGTGTATATCACTGTTGTTATGGAAGAAACCAAATTTAAAGAACCAACCACTGTTATGTATCTTTCATTAATCAATTTCCTAATCTAAAAGTTTAAAAAATAATTAGATTAAAATCTATAAAATATTTGTATAAACATACAAAACTTTGTATGATATACACAAACATTGATATAAAATACCCCTTTTGTTATCATAAAATGTGGTCCCACAGGTGGTTAAGCAGTATCAGTATCAAATAGAAAATAATGATTCCTTCCTTAAGTTTTGTCCAGATTATCAAATTTTCTTAGGCAAAAAACCGTTGATGTGCCTTTATATGGTTGTGATGTGATATCATCATGACCATATTTAATATTTAAGCATGTCAAATAAAATTCTATTATGGATAGGGCTTAAGAAAAATTTGATAGTGTGGTTAGGGCTTAAGGAAATTTTGATAGTGCGGACTGGGCTTAAGGAATAATTGATAGTGTGGACAGGGATTAAGAAAATTTTGATAGTGTGGACAGGGCTTAAGGAAAATTGGATAGTGTGGACAGGGCTTAAGGAAAATTTGATAGTATGGACAGGGCTTAAGGATTCATATTGTCCAAACATTCACTTTCTCTGCTATAACACACCAATTGGCATGATCGTAATAATTTTCTATAACATGCAAGTTTGTTACATGGTTTTCTATAAGATTTGCTAACTCTCCTTCTTTGAAGACATGGTAGTAACGCAGACAAGTGGAAGGATCTTCTGGTTCAAAGACTGCTGAATCCTCTTTATTCTCCTCCAGAGCAGCAACATCGCTTGACCGGCATCGTCGCATGTTGACCGCTCGTTTTGGCATTTGAGGACTATACTGAATGTATTGAGTCTTCTCAAAGCTACTATCAGAATGATTACGACGAACTCTGGGGCTGTTATGACGGCCGACCTCAACAGGTATCGAAGACAAACTTTCTTCAGATGATGATCTAGATTCCATAGGTGACACTACTTCCTTTAAGAGAGACTTCTTTAAATGTGAGGCTTTTCTATAAACTTGCCCTTTAGCTGTGGCTATATTGACTTCAACTGTTGGCGGACTTGCTCTTTTATGTGAGAAGCACATTCCAATGTCCACTGACATGCACTTTAATGCAGCTTTGGCTGAATTGCCTGGCAAAACTGTCCTTCTTTCTTGATTTTTGCTAACATTCTTAATCCCATTCCACAAACCAAAATCTGAATACAACTTATAGGGACTGTGTTTAGTACTGGAAGCATTGCTTAGGAGGGATGGACACGTTTTGCAAAGAGTGTAGTCATCCGTAGTGATAACAACAAAATCATCTGTGTAAATGCTAACTCTACAAGGAGATTCTGAGAAACCACTGTCTTCGAGATTTGTAGAAATTTTTGTTGCATTATAATCGTTGAGGGCAGCCCTCATATGGCTTTGGTAATCAGGATGAACCTGCTGGGCTTTACTCTTCCAAAATGTTGTTGTGAGTTCCCTAAGAGATTCATTTTTTCCATTCTTGGAAGAATTCTTACTGTCTTCACTTCTACTCCTTGTAAGAAAAGATAACTTGTATTTATCACTACTCTCTCTCACACTTCTTTCAGAGCCATGGCGACTGAGTTCTTTCCTCCTCTCAGTAGTGGTATAAGTTAACTTGATATCATTTGATACACCTGAGATTCTCTTCACAAATAGTTCTTGTATTGCACTTGACAGTCTATTGCCAAAATTCTCCTCTGCTTTAACTTGCTCAAACTTACTTGCCTTTGATAAGAAACCTTCTAATTTTTTAGACATTTTTGGACTTTCGACTGATTCCTCGTCAACGCTGCTCCCAGTTGAACTATGCCGGATCTTCTTTCCTTGAGGAATTGCTTGATATCTTGCGTGATGTGTTACAATACATCTTCCATCACTACTAGAACTTCTTTGGTGTGTGGTTGCTTTAGTGTTTTCTCGTTGCAGACTTCTACTTAATCTTGTTTGTCCATTTTGAAGCCTTTTTAAAGTTTCTGAATTGAGATGTTGCTGCAACAATTGATGCTGGCTCAAACATGATTCATTATTGCTATTATTTTTCTTATTGCTTTTGTGATATTTTTTCAGTCTTTGTTTTAAGTTTTTTGAGTTGTAAAACGATTCGTCATCACTGCCCGAGCTGTTGCTTCCATCATTTTCCTTTGAACTCTTCACACATTTATCTGATGAAAATCCAGAAAAGAATAATCATTATGAAGATTTGTACATAACTAGAATAATAAATATAGGGATTTAAATGGCACCTTTTGCCAAGGGATACAAAGTACTGGTGATGTTAGTATTACCCCGGGTCATTGGATCCATAATCAAATCAGCACAAAGTGCAACCTCTTATGCTCACTCTAAATTAGTCAGCAAGCCAAACAATTAAATAAAAAATCAACAATTCAACAACAAATATAATTAAATAAGTAAAATTTGAAGTCATCCATTAAATCATTCTATTATCATCAGTTATATTGATATCTTCAATATTGTTCTGATCCATTTTATCAAAATTTAAGATCAAATCACAAAAATTCCCCACAAATACCCTTCTCAATAATAAATACCCAGGGGTATAATACAGTAAGTGATGGTTGATATTTTTGAAAAGAGGAATAAAATATTAGTAAATATTATGATATGATAATAATGAGTAGTATAGAAAAATAAAATATTTACTTGTTGACCTAGGCTGGAAATGCCAAGGTACTAACACGTCCTGTGCATCAAACTACAATACAAAAAAAAGATCATTAATCAGATCTTAAAGGTAAATGCCACACAAGATTCAGAAAATTACAAATATGTTAATGCAGGTTTTCCAAATAAAATAAGAAGATAAATTATTCACAGGATTAAGGAGGGATACTGTATACTGGATCTCATTAATATTGGAAACCATGGAATAAATTCAATTGACATTAGAAATTATGAAAAATGATGTAGAAAAAACATAATTGTATAGTATATGAAATAAGAAAACGGATGTAAATACAAAGAACATGCGTATGCATATATAATCAAGTAAAATATTTACAATGCCTGTCTATACACAAAATATATTTACATAGCAGTTCTTAATTGGTACATTAGATTTTAGTATTGTAATGAATTTTATCAGCCATTTTGTAAGTAGGCCATCAGCTTCTAAATAAATGAAATTAGTGCAAAGTAGATGGAAAGACTACACATACACATCAAAGAGGCTCTTAGCTTCACGAGAAAGCTTCATAACAGATGACAGGTATGTCAAAGGTCATACATTGCTCATGGTACAAGGTCGTTCAGATCTTAAAGTCATTTTCATATTTACACTCGGATTTCCAAGAACTTGCACATAAATTGTTTATTAAATAAACAAATTTAGAAAAGTAATGATTACACAGCAAGGCAATAAAATATTCATTAAACGAGGCTCCTACACTTTGTTTACTTGGACATGGCGCTCAAGACCTTGTTTATTTGCACCTTATAAATCAATATATTACTCTTATTATTACTACAAGAACTAGCTAAATACAATTTATTATTTTTTTACTGATTGTATGGAGATGGTTTACACTAAAATTATAATAATAAAATAAATAAAAAACAAATTAACTTGAAATCGAGAGGGTAGGAATGCAACAGAGAGTATTTGGTGGTTTTAATGGTATTGATTAAAAAAACAAAATTTGCTCTTTTTCAAAAGAAAAATAATGTTTTATCTGTTATGTTTGTTGTTCATACACCTGCATGTGCCTAATAAAGCATGTACCTGGGTTTTATGTTACACGCTTTTATATTATTATGAATACTGAATGATTTGATAATAAAATAAGGGAGGAAATGCCTGTGATTTTTATAATGCATCAACAAGAAAAATGATTTATAAGAGTGTGGATAAGGGAAGCTCATGGTAGGGCCTGATCAAGTTCCTGCTTAAGGTCTGTCTTGGTTTTTGCTGTGGCTTAAAGTGGCCTTGATTTGGTAGCACACACGGTGACATAAACTGAAGTGGGGGAGGGGGATGGAACTGCCCATGGATGAATGAGCTTATGGTTTCTAAAATATACCGTATACTCTTCATATATAGCCTCAATGGCACTGGATTTATTCCAGTAAAAGTAACCGTCTTGTCGGTAAGTTTGACCGAAAAAATCCAGTGCGGATAGTCCGGCTCGGTTAACTTGACTGTCGCCGCCGGTTAGTTTTCGGGAGTGAAATTACTCAGGAATTCCTACCGAGCTACTTTGACCGGCCTGGAAAATCCAATGCGAACAGCCACAGATTGGTTAAATTAACCGAATTCCGAGCCTCATTGTTCATTGGGTGACCTTTATCGCTCTGTGAAGCACTGGCGCATGCCTATAATTAGTTGACCTGCTTCTTCTCATTGTTTTGGCTTTTTGATGTGTACATTTCGATTTTCGCGCAAATTTTATACTACTGTGCTGTATTGATCGTACGAATATCGTACTATTCGACTAGTTGATCACAAACCATTATTTTTTAACGTGTTACTTTCCCTTAAATAGTAGTATGGCATGGAATGACATTTTTCTTCATTTTTTAGGCCTCGCTAGGCCTAAAATATCGGAAGGAGAATTCTAGGATCTCATGATGTTGGCCTAGTCAGTCGAGGGAAGAAACAGATCAGTATGGGTCATGTTACGGGTCAAAATTTACCGCCCTCAATAGATAATTTTACACTACTCGGGAAAACTAACCGAGTTGGAAAGTCTAAGTGCGATTGACGGTAACATTTACCCTAGAAATGTTTACCGTGATGACGGTTACATATTCCCAAAAATTAATCCAGTGCGATTGAGGCTTAAGACAAGGCTTACAATAACGAATTACGATCGAAAAAACAGGGGGTCGTCTTATAAGCACAACATACAATTTTTTTATTGATTTTTATTTTAAAATCATGTTTGTCTTACATATGTGCGGATTGTACATGACACACAAATTTACTACTGAAGCTAGTAACTGTTAGCACTACCATATAAGCCTGACGAGCCAGAAAAGAATGCTATACAAGACGGTTGTTCTTTAATTTTTCAGTTAAGTTTGAATTACTGTTTTTTAAATACTGTACAATGAAACCCATTCATTTTACTAAGCCTTGACCTTGGACTTGTATGATGATAAGAAAGAGGGGGGGAAGGGATTGTTTTAAAAATCGTCCAAAAGTTTTCTCACATACCTTTCTATGACTTTGTTCCAGTGCCCAGACACATACCATAAGCCTTCCCCCCGGCCTTGTGATCCTAGCAAGCTCCTGCAATGCTCGAACACGTCGTTCCACGGTAGCAAAGTGATGAATGACCGCAATGGAGATGACAGCATCGCAGCTCCCGCTCCTGTACGGAAGGTTGATGTTGTCGCAAATCAAGACATTGTGCCCCCTCTGCTGAGCAATTTCAGTCAATTTGGAACAACAATCTGATCCTAGCTTGTATACTGACGGATTTATATGCAAATACTTCCCGTTCCCACATCCTAAAAAAAAATCAAGATGATTATCGTACAAACCTAGAATAAGGTCTTGAATCAATGTCGAATTATGAAACGTGATAGGCTAAAAGGTGATAAACTATGATGATTAGTGCCAAAAATTTATTAAAAAATATAATGACATATTGATCATTATTATATATTTTCAGATAATAATCATTCCCTCTAAGATTCTTCCCTATTCTTCCTTCTCCTATTCTTTTTACTACAGTACATTGCATTCATTATTGATAATATATTAAATGTTAATAAGCTTAGGGACCTAGAACCAAGGTCTAGAACTCAAACATTGTGCGTATTGTATAATCAGTTTAACACAATTCAATCTTCCTATATTCAAAGCCGAAGTTAGCTGGTCTTGTGCCAATCTTGACTTCTTTAGGTAGGCTTTGTTCATAAAGGCTTTTACGAATTGATGTCTTGTGCAGCAGAAAATCAAGTTGTACCACTACAGTGCTGCCTGATTATAAATCGATGGGAAATTTTCCGATAGCTAAAAATATGATAAATAGCCTACTTGCTATTTACTTTTTTGAAGTTATTGTTTTGGATTGGATTGGATCTATTCGGTGTAAACACCAAGGATAGCCAACGGAAGTCTAGAAGAAGACTAATTTGCAGTGGGGTCCATCTGGTGGTGATTGGGCAGTACACAGGGAGACAATCCCCTACTCTTTTCCGAAGAGTGTACTGCTTTCTTGAATGTGCACATGGGCCATAAATGCCCGCAGGACCAATGGCTTAAACATCTTATCCGAAAGACTGTGCGCTATTGTAACTTGTATTTCAGCCCTCCAGCTGAAACACAAGGAGAGGCAGCGATGGGGATTGAACGAGGGACCTAGAAATCTCCACGGTTCAGCGCACACACAATGGCTAGCACCAGATAAGCCGACTGAGCTAAGCTGCTCTCTAATAAAGATCATCAAAGGAGGGTGAAAAAAAAATAAAAATAAAATTTTGTTTTTTATTGGTGAATGTAAACAGTGCAGTAATGGTGACTGGTGCCCTAATTGGGCAAAAATAAAATTGTATTTTTATTTGAAATTATCACTATTGGTAGGTGGCGGTTTCGCGAAACAAGGTATAAAAGAGTCTCCCCTTAGAGCTGATAATTTTGTCCTGCAAATAAATAAGGACGAACTAAAGTGTCATTCAGGAATGATCAAAGGTCATGTGATAACCAAAGTGTACTTCAGAAATAATGCGGTTATTTGACCGGCAATTGCAGTGATCGATGTAGACAACAATTTAAATTCCAAAGTATACTTGCTCATTAATTAAGCTCTCTAACGAGATTCACTGCTTATACAAACTAAGGAGTGCATGCTACAGTATATTATTAACAATCTTGATTCAATTCAAAATATTTAATGCTACAAATAAATTTGTTATGGAGAACACAGATTCACCACTTGTATAAAACATTAAATTTTGACATCAAGATTTGAACACATGACCTTTGAACTGATGTGTGGATGATGGTAATGCCATTGATGGAACTGTGTAGTACAACATTAATAAATATGCAAATTAATAATTACTATGCGGTTGCCATTGGCAATCATGATAGCATTGACGTTGAATTATCAATTTCAAAGAAACTACACCTGATTCGTAAAAAATAAATAAATTACTAGTAAACCAATAATATAGAAGTAGAGTTTGCTAAGCGAAAATTCAAAGAAAAGCAGCTAAGATTTGCTTTGGTATTTGGCGGTGCACACTTAAACACTCTTGTCAAATGTTGCGTTTCAGTTCCGTTGTATGTTCCTTTTCGTTGTTGTTAAGTGCCTCGGAAGGCGCTATACAAATCTCAAATTATTATTAATATAAAACTCAGTTAATTCAGTCAACAATAACATGATTCATAGATTGAACTATGAATATATATGCAGAATTATACAAATTATGATAACTATTATTATATCATCAGCATCATTATTACAACATTATCATATATTATTATTATAAACTTATACAGTAACAATGTTATATTGATATATCATTATTATATTAATATTTATCACTATAACATTATTACTTCATTTTAACTTTATCTTTTTTGTGTCATCATAATAACAATATCATTATGCAGTGGTTTATAGTATTCATACAATATATAGAAAATGAATTAATGTTTATAAATACTTTTTATTGTATTGCTAGTTTAACATAATTATTGCGATTTATATCAATTGTACATATCATGATGGTTAATAAGCATTTTATACTGTAATCACTATTATAGTAGTAGAACATGGTTTATTATTTAACACCTATATCAAGTGTTTCTCAACATTACATTAAAAAAAATATAAAGAATAAATAATTTTTGAATTTTTTGGACAGTGGGTTGATATTCACTAGAGTATCCATTAAGTGCAAAATCAAACCGCAGCCTGTAACACCTTAAGCAACGCTTCCTTACTTCTATATCACTCACCTGAACACGATTTATATAAAATGAATTGAAATGTCCAGACACCTCGGTACCTTCTACCATAGTGTGACATTTTAAAATTAGTCTGCTAACATGTAATAAACATTTAGACTAGTGCTATAATAGTGAGTTAATGTTATCATAATTACCATGAATACTATATTGCTAATTAAAATAATTATTATTACCATTATGTTTATTCTTCTACTAACTATGAATTATGTTTTACAATGTATTATCATTTAAATAATACCTTGTAAATATACTCAGCATAATCATAATTACCAACACTAAAATGTCATAAATTATCATTATATTTGTTCCTAAATTAAAATCATGAATTCTGTTTTACTTAACAAATGTATTAGAATATTGTATTATAGTATTATTCTTATTCTTATACCATTAATATCATCAGCATAATTAAAATTACCTTTACTAAAATGTCATAAATTATCATTAATGTTTGTTCATAAATTATTATCATAAATTATATTTTATTAATCAAATGTATTACAGTATTATTATTTTAATATCTATTATTAATATTAACAGCATAATAAAATTTTGCTAATTTAGTATGAAAATAATTAGCCAAATAGAAAGTTTAGCCAAAACAAAAGAATATAAGCAATTATAGCTATTACTGTTTGGCTAATTTATCAGAATTCAGCTTTTATTAGGATTTGGCTATTTGGCTAATTGACAGCTTCAACACTGACTGTCATTATTCTCTTTATTTTCACTATCATTACATAATTGTCAAGGTTGGAGGAGCTATTTCAGGTTGATCAGTCGGCAGGCTTCATTATACCTTATTGTCTACTGCTGGGTATGATATTAAAATAAAATAAAAAATCAAATCAAATTTATTTCACTTGCAACATGGATTGCATACACAATTCAACGACTGGAACAAATAAACCAAAGCAAGCAAGTGTTGCTTTGGTTTATAAACAACTCCCCTATCAGCTTAATACAATTTATAAAGGTAAGTATTAATACTACACAAAAAAACAATTAAACTATATTGAAACTTTATAAACACTTAGTAGTTGAATTAATTTAAAAACTTCAAAATATAATAAAATGTCAACGAAAATTCACTTTATATGTGAATACTTATATTGTAATTAGTCCTAATTAACAGAAATGATTAAAAATCAATAAATAGATAAATATAAAAAAATAAAAATACTGTATATACATTAATAAAATAAAAATTTAAATAAAATATAAGTTAATTATAAAAAGTTCACTTTATATATACTGGATGTGTCAGCTTACTAAGGCACAGTAACATTAAGAATAATTAAATTAAATCAAAAATAATTATAGTCTAATACTATAAAAACCTACGGAATATATATTTAGGATATATATTCCATCGTCTAGATGACCTCAGAGACAATAACAATTCCATAGTATTAAAGGCATGTAAACGCTCTAGATTTATAGAAGATGGGCTCATTTGTGGGAATTTGTGTTTACTTGTAACTATTGTAATATAAGGAGTCACAAGTTGGAAGGAATCCCTTCCAGGTGATCTGGTTGAAGGAGCTTTCATAACATTTTATATTGCAGTGCCCTGACTTCCGTGAGGCAATTGACCTTTCCAGAATGTCAATCAAAGTTAACAACTGACCAATCAGAACAGTGCCAGGAATACGTGCGCATCTCACAAACACACGTGTTATCCCACGAATGCATGTGTTTGCGTACGGTTTAACACCGTCATCTTGCAGGACCTTAGCAACAGTATCCAAGGGGTCGAGCTTAGCAGAAAGGTCAGTTGATAATAAAGGTCAGTTGATAATAAAGGTCAGTTGATAATAAAGGTCAGTTGATAATAAAGGTCAGTTGATAATAAAGGTCAGTTGATAATAAAGGGCAGTTGATAATAAAGGTCAGTTGACAATAAAGGTCAGTTGATAATAAAGGTCAGTTGATAATAAAGGTCAGTTGATAATAAAGGTCAGTTGATAATAAAGTAGTAAATATAAGCAAATATTATAAATTTGCGGGGTAATGTTAATTTCCGGGAGATTCTTGATTGGAGGAGTGTAGGAGGCCGTCCCCATTTTCGGGAGACTCCTGCGTCTTACGGGAGACTTCCGCGACTTTCTGGAGACTCCCAAAATATATATATATATATATATATACTCATTGTTAAGGTATCAAAGCTTAAATAAAGAAATTCTGAAGAAAAAAAATCAATCACAAAATCATACCGACATCAGCAACAAGACTTCCCGGTTCCAATGCCTCAATAAAACCTTTGACCTTGGGCCAGGCTTTGTAGCGTGTATCACTGAAGTGTGGTGCAATCTTATCATAGACATCGTGGACGTGTTTCTTCTCAAGAGCAACCGAGCGGGAGTGTCTATCCATGAAGTAAGTCTGGCGATGACACTATTTTCAGACCATGGTCATTACGGTATTCTATAATCTTTGTACATTCTTCAAAGCCAACAATGCTACAAATATATAATAAAATAATAATTTAGACACATGTTCATGGAACTCATTTCAAATGAGTATTTCAAAGTACTAACTCATTTGTGATATCAATATTTCAAAACTCTATATTCCTGCTAAAAGATCTTGAAGGAATTTGAATCAAATTCACAGCAAAAGAATTACCAAAAGTTGTGATGCATACACTTTAAGTACATACTATACACCAGCTCATCATACAACTCAACTATACAACAGAATGCATAAGCCTGCAGTTCTACTGTATAATTAATTTGATATGCATGAAAAACAGTAAACACATTTACCAATCTCTAAACCAGTGTACAACAGTTACAATATCATTGTATTATAATTGAATATTTCTATGACCTATGTACTTGGTTTTAGTTTATGGTTGGTTGTTGTTACATAATAGTTATACTTGGATGTTATATTGTTAACACCTACATTTGGTTTGTTTTACCTGGTTTGTTTTGGGTTTATCTCGTAACCCAGTTGTTACATAGTAATTTAGAATATTATGTTGTTAACACCTTGATTTGGTTTGCTGTACCCGATATATTTTGGGTTATATCTGGTAAACTGGTTACTACCTAGTTAATACTTGGTTATTATTACCTACATTTGATTTGATGTATTGTACCAGGTTTTGGGTTATAGTACATCTAGTAACCTGGTTGTTACCTAAATAATACTTGGTTGTTATTTGGTAACACCTATGTCTGGTTTGTCGTACCTAGATGTTACCAAACATATCATTATTTAAATTCAAAACTTTAGTCATCTTCATTAATAGTTGCTAAGGTATAGCAACTAATTGGATCAACAAAAAAGATAATCTTTTCTAATACATACGGTATGTTCTATATAATAATAATGTAAAAAATAAAGTAAAAAATAATAATGTAAAAATAAAGTACACCTTATTTGGTTTTGGTTAAATACCTGGTGTGTACCTGGTTAATACCTCATTGTTACCTGGTTATTACCAAAGACATACAAATCCATTTTTAACACTACCTGTATATTCACCTTCACTACCCTATGTAAAGAATAAAGCCCAGTAATGGCACTGTGTCAAATAATGTACAGTAGTAAAGATCCACTAATGCTTTCATTGAAATTTATAAATCATCCAATTTTGTAAAAAATAGCATGTTTTTTAGCTATGATGAGGGCTTTATTTGCAATGACATGCGGTGAATGTTAGACAATCTGACACGTTAAAGCCATCGGCAATTTCCCAGGAGTACATCTTCCGTGAAACTAAGTAATTTAAAATTCACTTCTCTGGGACTTGATCATCCATGTCGGGAGTAACTGAAGTCAACCAGGGTTCATGATACAGTACTTAACAATTTAATGACCTTAATGCAATAACAATCTACAAACAAAGTTATTAATTATTTATAATTATGTTAATAATATTAATACAAATAAGCTAATTGGAATGAATTAGATAAATAATTGAGAATGGCAATTATTGCAATCAAAGCCGGATAAGTTTACTGTAGGAATAGAATCTTGTATTACTATTTATTTTATTATTATTATTATTAATATTATTATTATTATTTATTCTTAGCAAAAAATACAGAATACAAAATATAATACAAATCAATTTATCAAATAAACATAACATTTAATAACAGGTATATTAAACAAAATACTGTCATTAGCTGGCAGGAAAGCACAGAAGCAGCTTAAACCACTGTCACATATAGCTGAACCAATGTCACAGCTAAACCACTGTCACATATAGCTAAACCACTGTCACATGTAGCTAAACCACTGTCACATGTAGCTAAACCACTGTCACATATAGATAAACCACTGTCACATGTAGCTAAACCACTGTCACATAGTTATATAATTATATTAGAAATAATTATGGAATAGAACAAAATATATATTTATGAAGCTTGAACTAAATGAATTATTTAAATTAAAATTTTTTAAGAACAGAAAATGATTTTAATAATGAACATCAACATTAAGAACAGAAAATGATTTTAATAATGAACATCAACAACATAATCATCATTTATATTATTCTCCTGAAGACGATTGAAGCAACTTTCTCAACTACAACAGTTCTTTTCAGAACTACCTACGTGGTAATATATACAAATAATATATATTTCAATATTTTCATGTATGAGAAATGCATTTTGTGTTGGTAAGACTATTTTATACCTAGTTAGCAAACCAGCCGACCGCCAATGACGATGTTTTTGGCAAAACAATCTGCTAAATAAGAAAACAAAATTTTATTTTTATTTTATTTCCGCTCTCCTCGTTTAAAGAACATAAATTCACAAAACAAGTTATAAAAAAGTTTCTCTTACAATCCTGTCTAAATTATTACAAACAAAACTGTTACAACCAACCAAAATTAAAATCGAGAAAGCAAATTAGATTTGTGAAAACACTTGAATTGCGAGTTGTGTGCACACATTCCTATGATTCATACAATCACTTCCATTAGCAATTTCCTCGGCCACGAATGAATCAAGGTACTCATCAATTGCGTTGTCACAAAACAGATGTGATATGGCCGACATAAAAAACATCAATTTAGCACTAAGTTCTTGTAAGTCAACATGTTATACTCACAGAAAATGTGTTAGAATTCTGTTATATGTTAAAAAAGAAAATGAGTCCTATGTTTACTGGATAAAATAAAGCAACAAAATATTACCTAATTCTTCCGATAATCCATGAAAAATAATAATAATGAAAATGTATAAAGTGCCTGTATCTGTTTAGGCAAAAACCGCCTCCAAAAAATATGATAGAAAAAGCAAATTTATGGAAACCACATTCACAAGAACCAGAAAAATCAAATTATACTAATAATAATAATGATGATGGTGGTGGTGATGGTAATGGTAATGATGATGATATTGATGATGTTAACTAACAGTGATGTCTTTAGAGATGATAACAACAAGAATCACTAGATTATTGTAACATGGATAGTTTGCATTGATTAATAAATGGTGTTCTCAAGGCTGGGATTTCTATTAATAATAAAATGTGAAAAATAATTACAAAAATAAACCAAAGTATGCAAGAAAAAATACACCAAAATCTTCCACAAAATTTGTAGGCTCTGCTGTTTTTATATTCGATATTTCATACAGAAAAAACCCGTACTTTTACTTCCCATTCATGAATAAGAACTGGGCTTCAGGTGTAATCAATACACAGGACAAAAACATGTTCTGTATATCAAAAGCTGATCATAACATCAATTTTGTTTTAAAGTCAGTACAATGATGTTATCATATACCACAATATGTTGTCATTTGCTTAAAATTGATTTTGTATAAAGAACAAGCATAACACATTTTGTCAAGAAAGGACTATATTACTGTACACTATAGGCATTAAACACTGAAGGAAGCCTTGTCTATGACGTCAACAACAGCCTTGGTGTTGTCTACAGTTCTTGGTTATTATTTTTAACTTTATCTTTGGAAAAATAGGGAGCTTTCGGTTTGTGCCACGATGTGACGCTAGAACGGAATCACTCATGCGTGACCGTCCTACCTGGCGTCCTACGTTCTCTGCATAAGTAAATTTGGCCAAATTGCGTTCCAGAATCTACTCGACGAGCGCATGAGCAGATGACTTTTACTGACATCATTACGTTCTACGTCCTACCGTCGTCGTGCAATCAAAAGCTCCCTATAATATATTATTCATGAAATATTTTTTAATTTCCTTTATTTTACGAAACGTACGAAAATCACAGTAATCAGTCCTCTCTCGTTCGTTCGTGGTTGGAGATACATACACTGTATGGTATGAATCATGTTTACTGAGCACTTCTTTACTTCAATGTGTCTACTTGGTAAAAGTGAGAAAGTAGTAGTTTCCCAGCGGCCATCTTGGATTTCCCATCTCGGAGTAAAGAAAAAACAGTGCCCTCATTCTCCTTTTTTTAAAATATTAGGACGAGAATCTACTTTTTTTTTTTACTTGGCCTTATTTAAATGAATGCATTATTATTACTTGGCCTAGCTGTATGTTTTGCAGTATATTTATTTTATTATCTTAATAAATATAGTATTAATAAATTTCATTTGTCTATATTTCATATTATGATTTTCTGGTTACAACTTTGTTTCCCCTATTGTAATTTTAGGAAGGTGGGTGGGTTAGTATTGGGTGGGTTTTATTATTTTATTTTATTTGGATGATTTGATTTTTTTGAAAAGAACAAGAACAATCTAATGAGAAACTACCCATCTTGCTTAGCAGAATACTAAAGCTTAAACCAGGAATCTAGATCCAATTACTAATGACTTTCAAACCTGTAATTGGGTTACGTGAACCAAATACATTTAAATTAATAATTAAATCGAATGAAGAGGTTCAAATTCCGAGCACAATAATTTAACCAAGTTAATCAATAAATTATGGAGCATTTCAATCTACTAACTGTTTCAGCTTAATATATCCTGTTTCTTTCATGGCTCTTATAGAATCCATTGGTATATCTAAGAATCTTGAAATGAGTGGTGGGGTGATGAGGGGTGGGAAATTATGTGGGAGGGGGGAGAAGGATGCAAAGGAGAAGACAGATCAATGATTGAAGTGATGTAGTTCTGTAGCCTACAAAATAAGTCAATTCTCAAAACTTGAGAAATTTCAATGGGGATGGGGAGGGAGTTGAGAAGTGTAGGGTGACTGGGATACATGAACCCACTATGCTTTCCCCTAGAAAAACCTCTGGAATAAAACATTATGAAAATATATTATTCAGGAAATCTACTATAAAATGATAAAAGATGTACGAAATGTTACATTATAAAAAAAAGTTGATTGAATTACAGATGATGTGTGATGCTGCCTGGTAGGTGCAGTAGGTTCTGCATCGACTAATTAGTAATTCTACTTTTAGGCTTTAAAATTTCCACATTAAAATGTGTAACAAGTAATAAGAAATTGTTATGAAAAAAAGTATCTGTAACTATATGAAATACTTTTTCAAAAGAAATAATAAAACTTGTCACAGTCTATACTTTATAAAAAATGTGTTTTGATTTGTATTATGAAAACCCTATGATATGAATAACGTTCTTTTATTTAAACAGTATTAGCCACACACTGAGTGTACAAAAGTGGTATCTGGAAATTCAAACAGAATGCAATATCCATGTACAGTATAGTAGTGCTTGAATGCACCTTTGGTGTGCATAAACAATCAATTGACTGATACTCAATGACAAGACAGCAATGCTCATATATCAGGAATGGAATCAGCAAACCATAATAGTAACGAATATTTTAGTGCCAACTCAAAAATTATTGAAGGCACTAGTGAGGAAATAAGGCTAGTTAGCATTCCTGTAATAAAAAGATTTTAAGATTTTCTCTAAAGAAAGTAAATTAGACAAATCATGAAAAGAAAAGGCACGTTGACAAGTTTTTGTTTTGACGGAACTGTCAAGATATTTTTAGATGAAGAACGAAGATGGTGGAGAAGAACATAGTTAGCAGTCACTTGTAGTAGGAAGATACATAAACAAACTGGGAAGACTTGAAACTGCTGATATCACACAGTGCCTGGTTGTCTAAATGTAGTCTATAATTATAGTTATACAATATCTTTAAAACAAAATTTATTGACAAAAAAGAAGATCAACATTTCGAGTCCATCATGTATACTGTATTGTTGTCTACTTTTGTATATTGTTGTTCACTTGATCTTGAGAATGTGTCCATGATGGACTCGAAACGTCGATCTTCTTTTTTGTCAATAAATTTTGTTTTAAAATTATATAGTAAACGTCTGTTGATTCGTAATATATACAATATCATTTAGGAAACTATTTCCAAAGATTATACTTAAACATTGTCTATTATCAAAATAGACCGTTCCACTAAACCACAGCCCTTGAATATTGTTGAGCACTAAATAAACGGGGGTAAAAGGTACATAAATACTGTATGTGCTGCAGGATGTGTGCATTTTTCCTGGTCCTGTTCTGACAGGCCAGTTGCTATAAAATTTGACAATTAAATATGGTAGAAATAAGCCACAAAAAGGACAACATATGAACAATGTCATTGAAATTTAAGCCAAAGTACTGCAAATTGCAAAATTAATGTTGGCGTATTATAGTACACAGTAGTTGGTATTTCATCTAATGAACGTTCAATCCCTTCACCCAAGTGAGTAATCAATTACTAGGCTGGAAAATCCAAGGCATTAATTACAGACATTGGATGTCATTTGGGAATAAGATAGAGCTAACCAATCACTGTCCAGTACATGTATAATATAGCTGATTCAATTCAATTTATTATAAAATTCCACATATCGTGGCCCGGAGGCCAAATTGCATGTAAAATTACAAGCAAAAACATATAAAAGAAATGGCAGAAATGCTAAATTGTCATAGGGAAATGAATGTGGTGGACAGTGGATTGATGGGTGGACAATGAATTGTTGGATGGACACTGAGTAGATTGTTGATGGGGTCAACATTGAATTGTTGATGGGGTGGACACTGCATTGTTAATGGTTAGGACACTGGATTGTTCATGAGGTGGACATTGCATTGTTGACGGGGTGGACACTGGATTGTTGATGGGGAGAATACTCCGGCTTGTTGATGGATTGGACATTGGATTTTTGATGGGGTGGACATTGGATTGTTTATGGGGTGGACAGTGGATTACTGATGGTGGACAAAATGACAAAGGTTGTTTCTGCTGGGGTGGCTTAACGACCCTAGAGACACAAGTAAGTGTAAATATTGGATAGTAGATGGTGGACATGGAAATGTATTGGGGGGTGGGTAGTTAGACAGATTGTGGTGAATAGAAAAATGAGCAGGTAGCCAACGAATATGAATTCTGAAAATGGGAATTTGAATGGTGAACAATTATCGAAAATGGGAAGGGTAATGGTCAGGGGAACAGAACAAGAGAATTCTGGTAAAGACGTAGAGGGGAATGGGGATGAGAGACAGGAACAGTTGGATAGTACACAGCACAACTGCGGCCCGCGGTCCGCCATCAATTCTTTTTTCGGCCTGCGAAAATGAATTAAAAAAAAGCAACATTGGCTAGAAAAACACCTTGTTTTTTATGGCCCGACACCAATCATATGCAAAAATTAAAATAAAACTGAGAATAAATTAGTGTAAAAGCAGTTCTTGGAGGTTTTTGAGGGAACACTGGAAACAACAAAGTTTTGGTGCGGCCCTCGGTGTTGAATCAAAAATTCACTAACTGGTATACAGTAATAGGGAATGTGCAACTTCAGTGTTTTGGATATAATGAGGGAATGTTGGATAAAAAGAAAGAAAAGTTTGCTTAATAAACATAGAAAATTTAGATGGTAAACTTTTCAGTGTACAGTACTCTGGAATTTCATTTGTTGGCAAAAAATATTTCACTGGAGGAAAATGTTGACCAAGTATTTTTCAAGCTAAATTTTAAATAGCATAATATTTATAAGCCGGGGGAAATACTTTATATCAAGTTGGAAAACCTTTGATGGCCACATTTATAATTAGTTCTTTGTTCATACCTGCATATATACAAATCTAAATTCAGAACTGTGCACAAGTGCAATAGAAAATATGATTTACTGCAAAGTATCCAAATCCAGGAAATCTGCAAGTTTAATGAATCTCGTTGATCAGTTTCTGCAAACTATTAATTAATAATTTTTACTACTTAGAAAATGGAGCTAAATCTAAAAAATGATTACTTTGTTGGTAATTTAAAATGTGCATATTTAATATATTTAAATAAATTATGGCCTCATTTTAATACTTAATGAGAAATTTTATTGAATGGATGTAGTAACCCCTAGGGGTTACCTCTCTAACTAGAACTAACCTAAAAAATCAGATTGTCCATTTAATAGGGGTTTTGGCACGCAGTCATTCAACTGAAACACTAATAACTTTAGTTTAAATGACCAAATGTCAAGTTTTATACTTTTAAGTTATTATTTAAGTTCAATGCAAAAGAAATGTTTAATTTATATGATCAATAAGATTATATATTAATATTATTGTTACTAAGTAACGATGATGATGGTAGAGTTGCTGATTTCTGAGTAGAAGGGAGAGTGGACAGTGGTGTCGAGGGAACCAGACCCCCTCTTCCCCTTGCAGGGATACACAGAATGATGGTGAGGATAATTGTTACTATGATAGGTATCTATTGAAAAAATTGTTCATTACGTCAGCCAATTTGTGTTACAGAGAATTTATTTGCATGGCATTATCTGCCAAGTGTAAATTAGTTTATTTGACAAATCAATGTTTACTCTCTGCATTATTTGTTTATTTTGGTTGTCAACTGTTCTTTCCCAATAAAAAATATACAGACGACATGCATCAAGCAAATTAACAAGAATGAGAACTCAACTATTTAAATTTTTAACTAGTAAAAATTTATAGGAAATATTTTAATGAGGAGGTTCTATATTTTGTGTCATTTTTAATTACATACATTTACTATACTTAAGTTTTTATCTTTGTAAAACTTGTTTTTAATGTACAGCACTTAATATTCAAAATAAATGTTATTGTCCATTAAAAACTACAGAAATCAATTTGAACTGAAAACAAACAGGAATTGGTATGCACTCAACCCAATTTCATAAATTGTCAAAACATATTGTAAGAGCCTAGAAGGGGAGACTTTTATTCAATTTTTTTATCAATTTATTTTTATTTTAATTTTGTACAAATGATCATTCTAAATAATGTTTTTTTTTTTTTTACAAATAAACATTCTAATTATTTAACAATTTCTATATTATTAGCTCTTCCAAAAAACCCAATATAATAACTTGCGCCTGTACTGTATTTAAGCATGGAGGAACACATGGACCTGGTGAGCGGTCACTATTGTTTTCTGAAATTACCATTTTTTAGTGGTAGTGGGTGTGGTATTGGCCAAAAATAACATTTTATTTTTATTCCAAATCATCTATTTTGGTGGGCAGTGGGTTCGCAATACAAGGTATAAAAAAGTCTCACCTAAAGAGAAATAAATAAATACTAAATAAAATAAATAAATAATAAATAAATACTACAGAAAAAATTTTAAAACACTAAAACAATCAAGAGAGTTAGTGTTAAAAATAATAAGGATGAATAAATGTATGCTAAAAATTACCCTAAGAGTAAACCAGATTGAAATAGTCAACTTTAAATATTGCTTTTACACATTGAAACAATTTAAGCCAGGGACAATTGTCTGATGTTTGGATTTTTTGGTATTACATCAAGAATAAGCTGCAAATCGATTTTCCAGTGGGTTCTTCAGTGCTAAATTGGGTAGAACCTATACACCTAGGAGACAATCCACTCAGGCGGGTAAAATGAGGCCTGTACCGGGAATACTTCCTCCGTGCAAAAATTAGGCCTAGAAATCTGTCCAGTGAAAATTCTCGTTTTTAACATACAGTATAACCATGTGTAACAGTACTGTAGTTTGAGTTAGTGTTCTCCCCAGGGCAATAAGTTGTAACGGGCCCCGTCGTTATAGCTTCATTCAGAAAACAAGTTTACTCGGTTCTGTGCACATATATACTCAGTGATTTTCCAAGCAATTTTGAGCTAATTTTCAATGTACCACCCGTGCAATTAAAATATCTACAGGAATCCACATGGTTTACAAATCCAAAAGGCCATGCAGAGCTGGAAAAAGTCCACGACCAGCGGTCGGAGGTATCATGAATGTTCTGGAGGCATTTTCAGGGGAAAAAATAAAATAAACGATTGGTCTATATAGTGTACAGATAATATTTGGTGCTAGAGGCATTTAGCGAGACAATTTTCATGGTTGGATGGAGGCATAAACATTTTTTTTCTTCCAGGCCTGAGACCATGTCCAACTTGCATAGCCCTCCAGCTGAAACACAAGGAGAGCTGTCAAGATCGAATAGGACCAGGAAAACAGAAAGTTCTATATAAATATATAATATTAAAATAAAATATCTAAAATTAAATCACTGCATCCAAAATTGTAATTTAATTGAATATTTATAATAATATGAAATGAATATATCAGGATTGGCTGCTGAAGTTACAAAGAAAGTGGGTATAATACTTACTGGTGTACCATGTCATATTAGCAGAACAATCTGGGAATACATGTCTCTTGAATCAGTATCAACCGGGCTAGAATCCCTACTCCACTGTACTACTAACTACTACATGTACTACTACTACTAGGCCTAGATAGTTTATGGTAGAGTAGGCCTAGGCCATCTGTAATTTTGTAGTCGCCAAGTCTAGCCTACACATCCTGAAAACATGCTTGTAAATAACGATAATTACAAACAGTAGCGATAACAAAATTACATTTACATGATTTAAGTTTCACTTACTGTAATAATATTTGTTCCGCAATGTCCAGAATTTCTGTCTTTCACTACAAAATCAGAACATTTCATTTTCTGTGTTCTCTGGATGTGCGCGAAATGAATGAATGAAAAATGAACAATAGTTAGATTCCCATAGGTGGCAGTGTTCATTAAAAATCGTCTGCTCTTAATTTATTATGCAATGGTTTGTGTATAGTTCTTAGCATTTATTTTTTGTTTATCAATAAAATATTTGCTAAAGACAAATTTTGAATTATATACAAAGTAGACAATTATTTTTTAGTTATAATAGAATTGTATTCATTACTAGTAACTAATGATTTATTTATGTAAAATTAAATTTTTATCTTATATAATTTGATCCTTTGACCTCGTTATTACGTAACTAACTAACTGACTAACTTTGTGTACAAAGATTAGATTAGTTTTGTTTGGTTTATTGTACTGTATTGAAACACCAAAATTATGTCTCTTCATGCAGTAAAGGTATCGCCAGTATGTATTATATTATATTACTTTATTTAGGTACAATTTTTAAAAATCTTGAATTCGTCTCATTATCATATCATGAAGTCCGACGACAAGCAGGCTACCCGCTAGGCTAGGCCTAAATATAGCTTGCCAGGCCGTTTGAAAACAAGGCCCGGGCCCGGAGTCTTCATTCGGGTTTGGGGCTCTCGTAGACTAGGCTTAGCTTTTTGCTCTCTCACACCCATCCTCACGGACGGTAAGCAAAGCTCAAAGAATCCCTTAAGGGAAACGTAAAATTACTGGGGCTTTGTTTTTAAAAATTAAATTATAGTTGTAATACTAATTAATTAGTATTAAATTAATTGTATTTGCAAATTTACGATTATATTTGTAAATGGTAGTAGATGTAATTACTAATACTATGTATTGTTATTCACAATAAAAATTTAAATTATATTTATATAATCTAGATGACAGTAGGTGCAAAAATCATTGGTGTAGTGTGGCAATCAACAGTACAGTAATAATGACATCATATCAATTTTCCCCCACTATTCACCATCTGTCTAGGCCTACAGTTCAAAACCCACCTTCCTAATAAAATAAAGTGAGCGAGTGGAAAGAATAACAATTACGAATTACTAGATAAGATAAATCATTATTTTTATGAAAGAGGTATGTTGTTTAACTTTAAATTGTTAATTGTTAAACTAAAATCAATTAAATACAACTTCTTTACATAAGGCTATAGGTTTCTTCCCCCAGAACCTTCCAGGGCTTTTTTCCCTGGCTCCCAGACAAAGCTTGGCCTCCCAGACAAAGCTTGGGCTCCCAGACAAAGCTTGGCCTCGGCCGAATGCAGATTGTTAGCTCAAAATAGGAAAAGTAATTCACATATATCTCGCACAGGCTGTTGTTCACATAAGTGGTTCTTTTTCCGCTTGAAGTAAATTCAGCTCGAATCTGCTCGAACTGGCATTCGCTCAAAGGGGCATCTGCTCAAATTGATTGATTCCCATAATAACTAGTAGATTTTTGTCAACCAGATACAAAATAAATGAATGCTTTAATATTTAATACAGAATCACAAGGAAAGCTACAATTTTTGTACTACAGATTTGTCGATACTCATTTGGAGCCAGAAGGTACTACAGCAGCTTATCCTCTGAGCAAAAAAAGAAAATTGCAAGTGGGCCAAGCCTAGAAGACTTTATATTGGGAGACATAGAAGAACCATCAAAGGAGCAATATGAAGGAACTCTCAAGCGAGGGAAAGGAATTAAAAGGTGTGACTGGTAGCCTATTCATATAATTGAGTGAATTGAATATCCAACAATTACCCAACAAATACAGTACATTCCACTCATCTGTACGTTTTACTGTTCCACATCATTCTAAGAGAATTGGAAGTTTGGGACTGAACTTCAGGACATTTTTGAACCCAATATCTTCAGACATGCACTCAAGACTCACTTGTTTGCCTACAGTAGTACTTCCAATTATTATTTCAGAGCATTGTGTCTGTTGTATGGGATGTATGTTGCTTTAATTGTTTTGACAATGCAGTTGTGGTGCCTGTGACCTCTGTTTAATGCTGTATTACATGCAGCCTTGAGTTTTCCCTGAAGTATGAGATTTGGCGTGCGCTTTATAACCGCAAGGAAAAGGCGCAATATAAATGCTCACACCAGTACCACAGTAACTTTAAAACAATTTAATTATTACAATATGATATCTGAATAATGAGTTATGACACACCCTTATTAACACTATTCTTTTCAGACCTAAACATCTAAAAATAGTTTGCCAACACAAGGAATACTGTACATTAATGTTGTACAGTATGTTTTTATTCACCTGAATTTGTTATTATTTTTTTCTTCATATTTCAGACTTCGTTTACCACCATGGTTAAAAACAGAAATCCCTATTGGTAATAATTATTACAAACTAAAAGAAACTTTGCGAGATCTTAATTTAAATACGGTAAGATAATAAAAGGAAACAAATATTTTTGATTTATTAACAATCCAACTATTGTTTGACAGTAATGTTTAATTTGCATAAATGTTAGTGTTAAACAATATATGTGTAGTTGGAAAAACAACACTATACCTCAGTATCATGAATGCTAATAATGATTGACATTGTTTCAGGTATGTGAAGAAGCACGATGTCCAAACATAGGAGAATGCTGGGGAGGAGGTGAACATTCTACAGCTACTGCTACTATTATGGTATGCCAATTCTTGTGTTAAGACATTAATTTTATTATTACAAGTAAATTTAATAATTTGATGTTTTTGTGTTTTGATGACATGTTTTTACCTATGTTATTTTCATTGCTGGGATCTGCGGAGGATCATGGATTTTAATAAAAAGGAAGAAAGTATTAACATCCTCCAGTAGTTAACTGTAAGGTCTATTGTAGTTTGCGTAGTTGAGAGACAAATAGAGAAAAATATTTAACTGCTAGAAGAGTTGTTAATAGTGAATTTTTTTTCTTTTTGGAATAGTTATTAGGAGATACTTGTACAAGAGGCTGTCGGTTTTGTTCAGTAAAAACTGCAAGAAAGCCCCCACTTCCAGATGTTAATGAACCGGTAAATACAGCAAGTGCAATAGCCAAGTGGGGATTGGACTATGTGGTCCTTACTTCTGTTGATAGAGATGGTAAGAAACAATCTGATTGCTAGAACCAACAAGTATAGAATTGCAAGACATCCAACTGCCTTGATTTCACATGCACGCAATGTAACAAAACATGTCCGTATACAGGGGGGGTTTTTTATGGTTCGGGAGAGCCACCCTTTTCTAATTCTAGCAAACCCCCCTCTTTTTTTGCGAACCCCCTCTTTAAATTTCCCAAATAAGTCCTGCAACCCAACTAATGCACTTCAGACCCACCCAGACACAGACATTTTCAAACATATCTGCTTTTATAGCATTATTTAGACCCATAAAGCACAAAATCCTCTTCCTTTGGGGGTTTCGCCGACCCCACCGGGGCTTCAACCGTGGACCTGACGCCCTATTAGAGTTTGAATAGACTTCAAAAATTAAACAATGCATATTATAGACACAGCACGTGTTTGATGGGAACGACTTTTACGGGTTTTTTTTTTAAGGACGCTCTCTAGATTGTGGTAGTACTTTTGAGATAGGATTTCATTTCAATGATTGAAATGAAATTCAATGAAACTCAGAGAGTTTGACCTTTTGCAATTTGAAGTCTCCCCCTTATATAAGGACCTTAAATCTGAGGCCCAGTGCACACTTCAGACTCATGTGCATCTTTCAAAAGGGGAGGGGGTTACTCAAATCATCTGGTTTATTTGATTACTTGTCGCTAATGAGGCTGATACTGTAAAAGTCTGTTTTATATAATTTTTTGCTTGTCTCTCATTGGGATTAAAATGGTTTGATAAATTTGTAATGTTACAACCAACTACTTTCTAGCAATTTGTTATTTACAGATTTGTCACTTCAAAATATATTGATTTTAATTTTAGACTTGCCAGATGGAGGTTCAATGCATTTCGCTGAGACTGTCTCTGAAATTAAAAGCAGGTTTGTGTTATTTAACTGATGTAATTTAAATCTACAGTACGATGAAATAATATAACACCGTATCAAATTACTGTAATATGAAAATTATAACTTCTCCTGTGATATTCCCCTGATATGCTATGACACTATTCTATGACGATTCCTTTATGATATGCTGTGATTTTCCATTATGGCAAACTAACTGTTCCACATCTGCAGAAGCCTTATTTGCATACCTGGCAAAGGTGTTCAAGCGTATTTATACCTTGCAATTGGTGCCAAATAGAAATAGTAAAATTGTATGTTTTTGGTGTCCCACAAAACAAAGATAAATTTTGCTATTTTCACTTCAGTTGAGACGATATCAATTTAATACAAGTTCTAAATGTTTTTGTCGCACGATTAGAGCACCAAACATAATGGTAGAATGTTTAACGCCCGATTTCCGAGGTGACCTGGAAGCTGTGGCCAACATTGTTCATTCAGGGCTTGATGTCTATGCTCATAATATTGAAACCGTTGAAGCATTACAAAAGTGAGTACCAGCATGGACGTAGGCTCGCATGATGAGGGGGTGCCCAAACCAGCCTATGCCCCAGGACCAGTTCGTAGCAGATCCAGAATTTTCTGATCAGCGGGGAGAGACTGAAGCTAGTGTTCAGGGAGGAATACGGCAAACCCTCTATAATATACATTTTTGCAGTCTTAGGTGAAATTGTATTTCTGCTGCACTTAGTTATTCCATTGACAACAACAATGACAGTGGTAACACTGAAAATATATCATCCACAATCTACAAGCATCTAAATGATTATAGATGTGTTTGTTGCCAACAGGGCCCAAAGTGCTCCTCATTCCATTCATCTGTTTAATTTGTACCTTTCTTCCCAGTTTGGCTTGTTAGTTGCTGGGACTTTATTACAGGCCTTGGCCTCCTGGCACTTGTACTATTTAAGGAAAAAATGAATAAATGAATTGAATTGAATGATCTTTATATAGGCCAACAGAAACTATAGTAATACAGTACATAGAAAAACATGAATGTGAAATCATCACAAACATCTCCTAAGTCTGCTACTCACACCGCATCGTTGAACCTACTACCATAAAACCTTGAATTGAAGCCCAGTGGGCTTAATCTTGAGATGAAGCCAACTCGAATTGAAGCCCCTCATGGGCTTTTTTCATAGCATAGGCTTCTTTTCAAAATAGTATACACTACATGAATTCAAAAAACAAAATATATTAAAAACAAGCTTGGTATATACAGTATTTTAGGTGATTTATTGCCAGTTAAATACACTCCATGATACAGGTTGATGTTACAGTGGCCGTATTGATTGTTTTATGCAAGTACACAAAATGTACAGCATTCATTTTGTAAAGAAGCCCCCCCCCCCTCTTTACTCGAAAAGAAGCCCGTCCAAAATTTGCAAAAAAAAAAGGAAAAAAAAGAAAAGAAGCCCAGGGCTTCAAATTTGACGTTTTGCGGTATCTGAGATCTATCATAGCAGTAATATTACAGCTGTCATAAAGTCATTAAAAACTTTTCTTCTATCAGATTTGTCCGTGACCCACGAGCCAACTACAAACAATCCATGAAAGTGCTTGAACATGTTAAAACACTAGATGATCAGAAGTTCACCAAGTCTTCCATCATGCTTGGTCTTGGAGAAACCGACCAAGAGGTCTTCCAAACTCTCAAAGGTATTACCATCTATATGTGGCAGAGACAAGCCAATGCAGTCACTTGTCGCAAAAATTGATTTCTGGTTATTAATTCAGGGTTAAACAGTGAAATGAGAGCTATAAAATGGTTTAAAAGAATCACTTAAATCTGACATTTCGTTATGAAGTTACAAACATTTAAACATGCAGCTGTTAAAGAACAATATTTGAGAAATCAGCCTTCAAAGTTTGTGATTTTGGGCATTTCTCAGGCAGAAACCATTTAAAAAAAAAATTGAAAATGGGGGGAATAACAGCATAGCATGATGTATAGATTTATAAAGGTTAGTTTAGTGCAATAAAATAGAATTAGAAAATTTTGACATTCCAGCATGTTTTGGCCATTATCTCTAGAAACAAGATTTGCAATGAGTGACTTGTTAGAACAAACACGAGTAATGTATGGTGTTGGTAACTGCTGTAACTAAAATGAAAGTTGGGAAATTTTTATATATTCAACACTAGACAACAAATCTCACAGATGGAATTAAGTTAACTAAATTTGATCAATAATGATCTTTTGAAATGTTTTATTATGAATAATTGTCTCATTTTACTTTTTAGATTTAAGGACAGCTGGCGTAGAATGTGTGACCCTGGGTCAATACATGCAGCCAACTAAACGACATTTACGGGTCGAGGAATATGTGACCCCAGAAAAATACAGTTACTGGGAAAAAGTAGGAAACAAACTTGGTTTTTCCTATACAGCTAGTGGGCCATTGGTTCGGTCATCATATAAAGCAGGTAAGGGTAGATGTGTATTTAGTTTGCACTTGCTTTGTAATTCTACTTCCTTGTTTTATTTTAGTTTATATGAGTTAAGTAGGGGCACCTGGTCATTGAGTCCACATGCTTAATGGTTGCTGCTGAATGGTAGTAAGTAGGCTCAGCAATCAACCCCACCTTGTACCTACTTATGCCCCTGGAGGGATAGTAACAATGCTAATTTGCTAAAGGACATGAGCAGAACACTAACGGAAGGATTAAAACCAAACCATTACCACTGTGCCAAACTGCTTCCAAATTTTAAAAACAGGTGACATGCCTAAATATGGTCATGTTGACATCATATAATGACTATACAAGGCTTGCCATTCCAAAACCAGCATTAGTGACCAAAAAAAGGAAAATTTACTTTGTAATATCTATTCTTATTTTTAACATTATACGCTTTGAAATTTGGAATTACTGAAATAGACTTACTATTGCCAAAGTTGTGAGAAACTATTATGGCTTCTCCTTTACTAAAGTATACAATACTGCCACATTTTTATGCTAATTACTCAGTACTCTGGGGCTCCAGACTTTTGTCATAGTGATTTTGTTGCTTTTGGGGCCCCAAGACACTTGTCTGAATAAATAAATGAAAATGAAATGAAATGAAGTTTATCAATTAGCGACAGTATGCTGGTCTTGGGATGGCGAACCTTATATGTGTGACAAACGTGTGATTTGGTCCTCTTTGATGGTAAACCACGTGTATTTGTCATAAAACTTATTAGTGTGAACATAACATACATTGCAAACATGAAAAGAATGTTTCATTATATTTTTCATTCATATCTTTTTTTGTTCCTTAGGTGAATTTTTTATCAAAAATTTATTGGAGAAGCGTCGAGAATTATCAATTGAAGGTAGCACAAAGGAATCATGAAATAGGAATAAAGATATTTCACTGAGTACTGGAATACTGCAATATCACGCAAAATTGGTTTCTCTATGGATTCAAACCCTAGACTGTATATCCCATGGATATTGGGGTTTCGATTTACACGTCTACAGTGGATTCACTCATGCGTGACCATCCTGTGTACTCTGCACAACATCGATTTAGTCAAACTGCATGCTAGAATCAACACGAGAACTTGAGGTTTCTCACATGCAGAAATCTTAGTGAAGTCATTCCAGATTCTTCCTTGTTGCGCAATTGAAAGCTCATTATAGGACATGTTGCTCTGATTATAGCATGGACATTTCTTAGGGTTTTATTTTATTAAATAAATGAATGCAGTTATTTGTGTTTTTATGGTTCTTAATATTTTGTTAATCTGCTAACCTAATTAATTATTATTTTAAATATCTAATAATCTTTAATGAAGCCTATGAGAGCTGCATAGCTCAGTTGGGTAAACTGTTGGAAGCCATTGTTTGTACGCTCAGCAATGGATAGCTGTTGGTATAGTGCAATATGGCCCATGTTAACAAGTGTAAAATACTCTGTCTGGGATTGTCTCCTGTTGTACTGCCCAATCACCTTCAGAGGGACTCCACTGGAATGAAATCATATGGTTATGGTTATCCTACTGTACTGTACTTCAATATTTAGACAAATTTCTAACAAAAGGAGAGTTGTATTATCATGTAGAATTTATTTTAAACTTGTTCTAAGTGTGTTCTTCAATTGCCAAACTTTACATCAGGCTCAGAAAAATATGTACATTGTAATTTGAAATTAAAAAACCATTGTATTATAATAAAAATGGTTGTGTTACATTTATGTTATGCATTTATTTATTGTAAATACTGTAATAATGACTATTTATTTGTGATATCAAATGCTTTCCACCAATCAGCGAACTGTAAAACTTTCCTTCGTTGATGGTCAAAATTTTCCCTCAGTGGATTCCTCCAGCGCCGAGGTTCTAAGTCCAGCATTCCACCAATGATCTCCTAAAATGCAGAAAAATTAAATACAAAATGGTTTCATGTTTTTCTCTAGAACAAATCAGCAATTGTCAATTATTACACTAATAATCAGAGGCTGAAATTTTTAAAATTTATTTTTATTTATTCAAAAACCAACAGCAGTGAACACCATCTGTTCTCCCACAGGCCCAGTACAAAAAAACAATAATTACATTCACATTAAAAAAAAAAAGTACCATACAGAAACCGGATAAAGTACAGTAAAATCTCTATGATAAGAAATCAAAAAAATTGACAAGGTAAATCTAAGCATCGAAAAATATAAACACTCGAGTCAGGGTAAGTCCGGGGCGCTGCTAGCTACAGCCTTAACATCAACGCTGGTTCCAGCTGCTCCTCCCCCCATGGTTTGGATGGTAGAACCAAATCTTCTCGGATAAGGACTTAAAATGGAGGTCCAGTGTATACATCCGGCTCGTGTGCACTTTAAAGAACTCACTGTTACCCCTGCCTATTTACGGCTGCTAGGTAGTCAGGGACCAAGCCCATACGCAATTCAGTACAATGACGCTGCAAGTTATGGGTTATTATAAATTTACCTTTACCTTTAATTTATACAAATTACTGCTTAAAAGAAGGGTTACACTGCCCTCAGTGTTCCACTTACCTTGCCGAAGTAATGAGCGAAGGTGTGTTCATCTTCAATAACATGAGCAAAGCCACCGTCCATTGCAAAATCAACGCTAAAATAAGGGAATCCTTTTGGGACCTGTAATACACAAAGCAATGTAAATATATTGAGTCACCTACATTAGCAGGAATCAAAAACAAGTTAAAATCTACTAAAAGTATAATAAAAAATATGAATAATGTGGAGATTTGAATCCGGGAGCAATTTCAAGGCAAGTATCTAAACCACCAAACTACGTGCCACTCTTTATTAAGATGTTTGTCCTTACCGAATTACGAATACCCTTTTGATGAGTGTCAACCAGCTTTTTATTTTGAGACCATTCTGAGCCACACTCCATGATTGCTTTCTGTAAAAAAAATAAAGGTAAATCAATTGAAGCGCTTTAAAATAACACATAAACCCAACCAAAAGGAGGGCATTGTCCAACCCCACAAGGTGATCAGACCTTAAATATAATTTGCCTATCAAAATAATGTTATTTTGATTGACAATCCCTAATATTGTGGTTTAAAAGCACAATTTGGGCCATACTAAGAAATAAAAAAATCTTGCCTTGTGAACCCTATGAAGGATTTTTACCAGGACCATGACCAAGGCTCTAGTCGGCCATTGGTTCGGACCCCTCCCCCTAGTCGGCCATTGGTTCGAACCCCTCGTCAGCAAATTTCAAGGGCCACCACTGTGCAAAAGCTAAAATAAGCATGTGTTAGTCAAACTTACCTTGAAATAAATTGGAGCCATGTCCCCTATTTCCTTGGGTACCGGGACACATTCAATGCACATGTGTCGTTGCTTACGTAAATTCATAGCAGTTTCCAGGAAGATAATATCTTCATCTTGAGATTCAAACATTTTAACAAGCGCCCTCTTGAATGTCTTACAAGTTAAATTGGAAAATAATACATTAATCATAAAAACAATAGAATTAAAAGAGCAATGTAAACAATAGAAAATAACAAATTACTCTAAAAATTATTGAAAAGCTTTATAAACCGACAAAAGTACCTTAAGGATAATACTTAATATTTTTGTAATATATAATCAGAAAATAATATAGAAACAGCTGGGAATTGAAAGTAAGAAATGAAAAGATGCCAAAACAAGCAATGGAATATACAATATGTGGAAAAACTCCATGAACAAAGCTAGAATGAATTTACAAAAGTGTGATTTTGAAACCAACATCTCATTACCTGCATTTCATACCATACATCCTCATCGAGAGCAGTAACAGCTGTTGTGTGTTGCATAGGAATTAGTAAACAATGCCCATCCGTTAATGACTGAGTTGCTGGGACACTTAAATAAACCTGTTGCAAAAAGACAATAACATTTATGTCTCCATTTACATTATGCTACTGGCATTTATTGTAAGGTAATAAAAAACAGACGCCATAACATGACTATCAAAGTGTAGTAACAAGAAGGGCTATATAGTATCTTGAGTATACACCATTTTCGCTAAATTTGAAATGAAAATTTCCGAGAACCTGGCAACTACCACTGGGGGACTTGCAGAGGCCTAGCTGGTCATTTTGCTCTACGTAGTAACCGGTGTTTGTGCTGTTTGACTGGTGGACTACCTTGTTGTGGAGGCCTAGACTAGTCTTTAAAAACAAAATGCCAAAACACAAAAAAGAAAATAGGGGTGCATAAAACATGCAGTGTTTTTGGTTGTCTGAAAAAGTACTCAAAAAGATACATGTCTGGAAAACGAAATTTGCTGAGGTTAGGCTGCTGGACGTCCCCAGTAAAAAGTTGCAAACATTGCTAAGTAGGGTGAGAAATTTAAGAATTCAAGAATACATTAGAGACAATATTCTTTTTTTAATTTGGAGTCATCAAAGAAATTTACCTTTGTTCCAAGAGATATGATGAGGTGCTTCTTCATTTCCGAGCTATCAATACAGAAGGGACATTTAGAGAGGGCAGCAGACATTTGTTTGTGCTCGGCAATTGCTCTAGCTTTCTCTTTCTCTTCTGCCTGGGTACGAGACTCAACTTGAGCAGCTCGTGAAACAAACATATCATCCAGGGTGTGATACTCATCATCAACCTTATCCACTGACTAAATACAAGAAAAATAAAATATTTTTTTAGAAAATTTTTTAGAAAGAAAAAAAAAGACATTGAAAAAAAATATACAAAAATAAACATAAACATATGATTATTCAAATAAATTTCAATTTCATTAAAATGGATTTTTTAAAAAATTTATTGCACATCCAACAGTGTATACACCAATTACAGGATGAAAATATAAAATATAAAAACTTGCACAATATCAATGGAAAACCTAAAGTTATTTTACAGAGATTTGTTTCTAACAAAGCTTAGAATTATAAAGAAACTAAACTACAATACTGCTTTATATACTCAGGGATCCCAAGTTGTGAAAGTCAAATTCCTGGAGACAGGACAGGCCATAGTTTTACGATGCGTGTACTCACTAAAACGCATGTACAAGGACATGCGTATACAAATATTTCACCATTTTAAATATAAAAACAAAAAGGCTTTGGCAGGTTTAGGTCACTGTTAATACCTTATTACTGCCTAAAAATTATTCAATAAATCTTATGTTTGCCATATTTAATGCACAAGAATGGGATAATTTAGCTTAGCATAAGCCCTAATTGTGAAAACCTCTTGAAATCCTGGAGAAATCCAAGAGAAATTGAAATTCCGGGAGAAAAATGGAATTTCCGGGAGATCGGGAGATGAACCAAAATTCCTGGAAACTCCAAGGCAATCCAGGAAACTTGGGAGCTGTGCATACTGCACAAGAACCCTTTTCATGTAACTGCCTTAAATTGGGTTAACAATGCCTGGATGGATGGATTGATTTATTCAGTGTAAACACCAAGGATAACCTATGAAAGTCTGAAGAAGACTTATTTCTAGTGGAAAGATGGTGTGCTATTGTAACGTGCATTTTAATCCTCCAGTTGATGGGAATTGAACCTGGGAAGAGAAAAGCCGCATTCTGTAGAAGACAAAAGTTGTACTGTACTCACAAATAACTGCTATACCATAGTACTCATTTAAGTTTCAGATCATTTCTTGATATTTAATTAAATTAGTTGACAAACATTTTCAAAAAGATTCTAAATTAACCTACCCTGCCCGCCAGTCTTGATAACATCATGTTCTGATCTTCTGCACGATTCATTTTTTCACGTTGAACCAAAGTTTTTAAATCAAAATTATCATCATCTGCAAAATATCGTTCTCTCTCACCACCATCACCATGAGTTGGAAGCTACAAGTACAACAAAATATTTCTTAATGAATAAAATAAAATGATGGGAGAGTGCAAGGAGCTACGGAAATGAGATAATTTTTAACTTGATTGTTATAATTGGTGATCCGCTAACGTTAGCGGATCACCTATTGTTATTGTCAGGATCATCATCTTCATCTTCTTTTTTTTATTCTTCTTTCTTTCTCCCCTTTTTTGTTCGCACGATATCTCAAAAAATGCCACGAGTTTACGATCTCAAAAACTGCCACGAGTTACGCAAAATTGCTGTCAGCGAACATTTGGCTTTGTCTGGAATAGTCATGGTAAGCTTTTCAACGCGCTCAGACATGCGTGACGTCATCTACGCGCAATTTTGCGTTTTTACATTATCGATAATATCAGCGTAACCAATTGCCAATTCGAAATCGTATTAAGTGAGTATTAACTTCGGGTTAATGTTGAATGTACAGTACCCTAATTTGACGCGTGCGCTCCAGCACGCGCGCGTACGTGTGCGTCAAAATTTCAAAATGTTCAAAATCACTTTTTGACTAAATTAATGCACGTTTTAGGCCATTTTAAGCATTTCAAATTTTTTGGAAATTTTCCACTACGCGCGCGCATTTTAACGTGCACAGCACGTACGAAAGCTAGATATTATTTTTTTTTTACATATTTTGGGTTCCTGACATTTTTTTCACAAACTTCCAATCTTTTTGGTCATCTTTTGGCCAATAGCAATACCGTACGTGCGCATCAAACATAGGCATCTTTGGCCGTATTTGTGCTCTATACAGTGAAATTATGCTAAAATGAGGCCTATTTTCATTCAGTTATATCTCCTTAGGTTGAAAGGTGACCCCAATTTTTTATTACATATTCTAAAAGCACATGAGTTGTAGATATAATTTTATAGATCATAATGGCTGATCAGATATTGTGACGTCATCATATTGGC